TTCTCTCTCGCTAGCTTTGTCTATCACTGTCTATCTGTTTCAGCATCAGCATCATAATCATCATTATCGTCATCATCATCATCGCAATGATAAAAAGGGAAATCAGAGACCCACCATGTAGAACTAAGTACCAGCACCTGGAAGATGTGTATTCTGGGTACTATAAGCGGGAACAAAAATCTATCACATGTCGCTGGGACCAGGTTGAGCTAGCGAGACTGCGGTCGGACCATCATTAGAGTTTAAGATGGTATAAGAACTTTGTAAATGAAGAGCTCAGCCTATGTTGTCGAAGATGCGGCCATGAAAAGGAGCATGTCAAACATATGTTTGAATGTCCAGGAACAATGGCAATTCGAATGGAGTTATTCGGACGAGTGGAGAGGTCGGTAAGCATATTGACAATGGAGCCGAAAAAGAGCCTCGCTCTCGCTCGAAAATTTCTTCGTGGAGTCTGTCAGGCCCATTAAGGAAACAAAGAAATCACCATGATCATCCCCAACATTAACATATACCTGTATCTACAGTATCTCCCTCTCTTTCTTTCTGAATCTTTCTCCCTTCCCAACACACCCCGGCACCAGAGACCGCTCGTCCACCTCTGTGCCGCCAGCATACCGTCCCAGGTCGCTGTCGCCAGCAAGATAAACACAGCTGTTACGTAAGCTATGAGTGTCCAGGGAGGGAGAGGGGTGAGGAGGGGTGGGGTGGGGGGTGGAGTGTCATCCTAGAAAGAGGTGCCGGGTGATATAAGCCTGCACAGGAACTACATTAATATTTCAACTTTAGAATTAAACACATTTATTATTTTTTAAAATTGGGAAGACAACCCGAAAAAGGAGGGGGGTGGGGGGTGGGAACTTTCGTTTGCTCGTTCGCTTGTTTCTGTTTATTTGCTTCATTCTTTTCTTGTGGGGATATTTTTTTTCAAGTCAGAGTTCGCTGTTCAGAAACATGTATCAGTATTTGTTAGAACTAATTTTTAAAAAGAAAGTAAGAGAAAGCGCACAAATAAAGAAATATTGTGTCGAAAAGAACTAATAGATGCCAGAGGCTCCTCGCACCTGCCCGAAAAGATTCCTCCGATGTTAATGAACACATTCCAGACCCACTGTCTGTGAGGGAGATCATAGATGCCCTTATACGTGAGTATCACGAGAGATACTGTCCGTGAGGGAGATCATAGATGCCCTTATACGTGAGTCTCACGAGAGATACCCCCACAGAGGACGGTGGCCGTCATTGACGATTCCTTCAAGTCGAATAAATAGATTTATTTAATGATTGATCCGCGATTATGGCGGGGTTATCTCTAACTTCTGTGGTGCGATAAACGTTGATATGACATTGAACTTCGCGGGTAAAATTGCGTTCAAATCGTGTGAACACAGAGCCTCGACAAATGTGTCTCCCCTGTCGGGCAATGAATGTGGAGGAGTGAAGAAATGCATCGGACAAAGCGGCGAAAATCTCCTAGACGATGTGATTAGTAATTGTGAGGCAGCGTGGTGGAATCAGGCTCTCGTCAATTTTTGAGCACATAGAGTTATTGGTATCACCTTAAAGCTTGTTCAATTGTTTTTATTTGGATGAAACAAATATCCGTTTATCTTAAATACAAGTCGAGATATTTGAGAATGAAGGAGGTGGGGGTCACCTGTTTTCAGGGGTAGGTAAAATTAGTGAAAAAATGGCCGCTAAAGATTAGTTATTTCCTTAGCTTAAAAATTCGTGGTTACTGAAAATTTACATCTTTTGTGTCTTTAATCAACGTTTTTCAGAAAAATCCACACAGAAATTAGTTCTTTAATAGGCATGAAAGGTGTTGAGCCAAAAATCAAAAATTTGATAAAAATCCACAAAGTTTCTTCACTTTGATTATTTTGACGAGAGCCTAATTCCACCACGCTGCCTCACAATGTATTATCATTATATTACTTTATTTTTTCCCGCCAATATTTAGCAGAGAACAGTTTTACGTAAATGTGGAGTTTTATTTTATTTTAACAACGTTGGAATTTTTTTTAAACAATCATATTTTGCCAGGAAACGAATCGGGCAAGGGGAAACTCAAAGAACAAGTAGAAGAAGTAGAAGAAACAGACCACACGAAAAGGCATTACATCCATTCATGCTGTTTCACAAACGCTCTTATTCGTAAGACTGAAATATATGCACATTTAATTTTGGAAACACACACCCATGTACGTGCACAAACACACACACACACACACACACACACACACACACACACACACACACACACATACATACACACACATACACACACACACGCACGCGCGCGCGCACACACACACACACAATCACACACACATACACATACACACTCACACACACACACACACAATCACACACACTCACTCTGTCATAGCGTTGAAATTTAAATGTTGATCCCCAACTTCGTAAGAAACTAATTTCCGAAGGGCTTGAATCAGAAGTCGGATTTTTGCTCTTTTTTCAGTTTTATTTTCTTTTTCCTTTATTGTAAAAATTGTGAGCTGTCAATAAGCCCGACAGACTTGCCGCCGAGAAATACGATACTTGTTCAACGCTCTACTTGCACAATGTCTACCACTGTGTTATCATCTCTCCAATATATCACAGGCCAGATTATGAATAGTTTAATATCAAGAAACAGGCGGTACGAAAAAGATGTTTCAGAAAGTAGATCTATATGCGTTTGTGTGTGTATGTGTGTGTATGTGTGTGTGTGTGTTTGTGTGTGTGTGTGTGTGTTTGTGTGAGATTGTGTGTGTGTGTGTGTGTGTGTGTGTGTGTGTGTGTGTGTGTGTGTGTGTGTGTGTGTGTGTGTGTGTGTGTGTGTGTGTGTGTGTGTGTGTTTACATTATGTGTGCATGACCGCGTACGACTGCGATAAGACTGCTGTCTACTTGTATGAAATGATATAGCAATTGAAATAGCAATTTGCTTGTCCACCTTCATTTTGTTCAAACAATTCAGTCTCTCCTTTTTGCGTAATTTTGGTAAGCCTTGTAGGCAAAATAAAAAACAAACAAACAACAAAAACTATAACAACAACTAACAACAACAACAACAACAACAACAACAACAACAACAACAACAACAACAACAACAACAACAACAACACCAACAACAACAACAACAAAAGCCTGCTCGTTGAAGGGAACTCATGAACTACAGGAAACACAATATCTCTCGATAACCTACTTGTGGGTTGAAGTCAGGGAAATTAGGAGAAAAGAAAAAAACACGTGTAATAGACTGAAAGTGAGAGAAATGAGACTACAAAGGAAACGTATGATGGACAGAAGTTGTAGTAAGGAGAAGTACAGCGTATTGCTTTGGGAGTTTGGTGATAACTGTATTGTTTGTCTAGATCTAGTGGGTAGGTGGAGGTGGCGGGTAGTGAATCGAACTGGGGACGCGCCTCTGAGTGAGTGTGCTTTGTGTCTGTCTGAATGTGTCTGTCTGTCTTTCTGTCTATCTTTTATTTTTGCTTTTACATTTTCGCTATTTCGTTCTCTCTTCTCTCTTTGTCCCGTTCTCTCTCTCTCTCTCTCT